CCTTCTATGGCCGCTTTTGCAGCGCTCATCTGGTTCCTCCCTACCAACGAGCCCAGTGTCTGGAACGCCGTCTATCTCGTGGTCGTCCTGGAACTGTTTTTCATCGCCAGCACGATGTCCAGCGGCCCGCTGGAAGCATTGATCCCTGAACTTTCAGACACTCCAACCGATCGCATGGCTATCGTGGGCACCATATTCCTGTTCGCCATCCTCGGAGCAGCCATAGGATTGGTTGCCAGTGGCCGCATCGTGGATCTGTTGGGAATCCAGGTTATGGGGATCGCCGTCGCGGTGGTAGGCATCGTGTTCCGGTATATTTCCCTGGCCGCGGTGTGGAAGCACGCCCCGCGGCGCACCCCACCGGCCACCGTTCCATTCTGGAATGGTTTGGTCAGCGCCATCAGCAACTCGCAGTTCGTATGTTTCTTGCCCACGTACGTGATGTTTTCAATGGCAGTCGGCGTGCTCATGGGCTGGATGCCGTTCTTCGCCACCGACCTGATTGGCGTCGGGTGACACAAGGGACTGATTACCGGCTGTGCTTTCTCCCGCGTTTATCGGGTGAGGTAATTTGTAGTCGGGCGCCATTATCTGGCCGATGTGCAATCGCTTCGGCAAGAGACGCATGTACGGATTATGCCTCATCGGGAGCGGGCTGCTGTTTCCCTTGTTGGGACTGATCGGAGTCATTACGCCCACCGCCCTCATGGCCCAGAGTTTCGTCGTGGGATTCTTAATCGGCCTTCCCATGGCAGCCGTGTTTCTGTTGCCCAAAGCGTTCACCGCAGATATAGCAGACTACGACGCTCTGATCACGGGCCAACGCCGGAAGCCTGTTTTCACGGCCACTCGAAAACTTCTTCGCAACAGTGGCGTTTGTTTCCTTGCTCGCCGCTGTGTTGAGGCCTGTGCTCTGTTGGAGACTCCGCGGACAACCCACTGGGCATTCGTCTGGCCGGCCCGGTGGCAGGCCTGTTGGCGCTGTCCGGATATGCGGTCTGGCGTCGTTACAGGCTGCCCGACAACATCAACCGCGAGACCGTTGCCGCCACCGGTCTGTTGCCACCGAGCCTCCAGACACGCCCGTAAAAATGGTCAGTCAGGAATCAAGCTGGTTTGCCAGCCCTGCCGCTGTTGTTACCGGTAGTTGGCAGACGTAATGCTGGCAAACGTAGGCGGTGGGCGCTCCGTCCTGCATTTCCCGCTGTTCCAGTAACGAGATTAGCAGCGGCGGGACGACGGTCGCCGACACCCGACCACACGCGGTTGGGTAGGAACCGCTTACCAACCTCCTCCAACATGTCCCTGGTAACTTCGCCATCTACCGGGCCCACAATAACTATTTCTTTCGGCAGAGACACGTAGAAATCCAATGCGCCCAACCAGTGCCCGGTGGCTGATGGCGCCCGTCCCAATAACGGTTGCAATGCGCGGATCGGTGTCGCAGCTTTCGTCTCTGGCGCGAAATCGTCGTTACCGGTGATTACGGCCAGTCGAAGCAGCACGTCCGTGGCCACTGAACCGCCACACGGCTGTGCGTTGTCGAACACATCCCGGGGCCGAATCATCAGTGATTCGTGATCGCTGCCGGTGTCATAGAACCCACCAACCGTATCGTCCCAGAACAGTTCGATAATGCCTTTCGCGACTTCATTGGCTTCCCGCAACCACCGAGATTCCAGCGTAGCCTCGTGCAAAGCCAGCAACCCGTCCGCCAAACACGCATAGTCTTCCAGGTACCCCAGCAGTTTGGCCTGGCCGTTACGCCAGGTTCTCAGGATGCGACCGTTTTCGTCCCGCATGCAGTCCAGCAAAAATGCCGCGTTCCTGCGGGCTGCGTCCAGGTAATCTGCGCGATTCAGGGCGGCTCCAGCTTCGGCGAACGATCTCAGCATCAATCCGTTCCATCCGGTCAGCACCTTGTCATCCAGAAGCGGATGGATCCGCCTTTCCCGTATCTCAAGCAGCGTGGCTCTGGCGCGCTGCACCGCCTCCGACAATTCGCCTTCGCTCACCCCTCGCTCATCGGCGTAGTCTTCTGGATCCTTCGGTACGTTGAGGATGTTGGCGCCCTCGAAATTACCTCGGTCGGTTACGCCGTAATGTCCCATTACCAGCTCGGCGTCTGGTCCCAACGCCGCCCGCAGTTCGTCCGGCGTCCACACGAAGAACTTGCCCTCTACACCCTCGCTGTCGGCGTCCTGCGCCGAATAAAACCCCCCGGCCGTATCAGTCATCTCTCGAAGAACGTAGTCCAGGGTTTCCTCGGTAATGCGCCGGTAAAGCGGGTTTGACGTAATCTGCCAGGCGTGCAAGTACAGGCGTGCCAGCAACGCGTTGTCATACAGCATTTTTTCGAAGTGGGGAACCAGCCAGTAGGCGTCCGTAGAATAACGATGAAACCCGCCGCCTACCTGGTCATAGATGCCGCCGTACGCCATCTTTTGCAACGTTAGCTGCACCATCTCCAGCGCTCGCGGATTGAATCCGTGCTGGGCGTAGCGCAGCATGAATTCCGGCGTCATGGGCTGCGGGAACTTTGGTGCGTTGCCAAAACCTCCGTTCAAATGGTCGAACTGAGTGGCCAACTGTGAATATGCCGTGTGCATGACCTCCGTTGTCAGTGGGTTAACTCCCCGGGGCATTTGACCGGAGCGTCCCATTTGATCGGCCAATTGCCGTGTGACCCGTTCGATTTCTCCTTTGTTGGTGCGGTACGCCTCGCTGGCAGCGGCCAACAGCCGCGGAAAACCAGGCATACCCTGCCGGTCTTCAGGAGGGAAGTAGGTTCCACCATAATAGGGACGTCCCTCCGGGGTCAGGAACACCGTCATGGGCCACCCACCCCTGCCCGTCAGCATTTGAACCGCTTCCATGTACACAGCGTCCAGATCGGGCCGTTCTTCCCGGTCAACTTTGATGTTGACGAAATTCTCGTTCATCAGCGAGGCGATTTCCTCGTTTTCAAAGGACTCACGTTCCATAACATGGCACCAGTGGCAAGCCGAATAGCCAATGCTCAGCAGAATGGGTCGGTCCTCATCGCGGGCCCGGCTCAACGCCTCTTCTCCCCATGGATACCAGTCAACGGGATTATCCGAGTGCTGCAACAAATACGGGCTGGTTTCTTGGCTTAGTCGATTGGGCATCGGTGGTGCTCCGGAGTCAGCGACTCGAGTGCGTGTATCGGAATGATAGCGCGGTACTGTCCAAATTGATAAAATGGTCTCGTTCAACGGCAAGCATACCAGATGCCCAGGAACCACATGCGCTGACCATGAACGTCTCGACCAACAGAATCAGAATAATTCCGTGGCTCGCGGTTGTCGCCGTCGCAGCCAGCATCGCGTTGGCCTGCGCCCCTGCTTCCAGTGGCGTCGGCTCCGACGTGGGCGACGCGGTACCGCCATTCGCGATGCAGTTGGCCGACGGCACCCAGGTGTCCTCCGAAAGTCTGGACGCAGCAGACCGGCCCTCCCACCTGTTCTATTTCGCCACCTGGTGACCAACCTGCCGCGCTGAGTTACAGACGCTGCACACTCTCGCTACTGAGTACGAAGATATTGATTTCTACGTGGTGTCGTACGACGAACCCCTTGCCGTCGTTAACGATTACATCGTAGGCCGGGGGTTCACCGACCTCATATCGGTTCAGGGCGTCGGCGACATGATGGCCGATCTGGAGGTCACCCGACAGGCCGAGATGATGGCCATCAACGGCGACGGTATCATGTACCACCGCCAGGTGATCGGAGACCTCACGGAATGGCGTTCGCATCTGGATGCTTTGGCCGCCGACGCCGCCGCAGTGCCGTCGGGTTTCGAATCTGACCGACAGAAAGATCAGCGTCGGCATGATTTACAACTGCCAAGTTGATGAGGCTAGCCTCCGGCGCCGTTGGCGCCGTCTGTAACACATGCGCAGCATAAATGTCATTCCGCTGACCCTGTTGGCCATCTTGGTGTTGGCGGTGTCTCTTGCGTGCAGCTCAACCGGATCGCCCGCCACCGATTCCCAACCCGCCCCTGTCGAATCCCAAGCGCCGATCCCAGCAACCGCCGCCCCGGAGCCCGGTGCATCCGAGGCGACACCGGAAACCTCACCCGCGCCTCCGTCAACTCCCGAAACTCCCCCGGCTGGCTCCGTTGACGAAACTCCCACTGGTAGCCCAACAGAGGAGTCAACCGAACCGCCGACGCTCGACCCGACTCCCACGGCAGCCCCGCCAATCACTCACGTGGGAACCGGTGTTGGCGACTCCGCCCCGGAGTTCGCGCTCCACCTGACCGAAGGTCAGCAAATCTCATCGAACGAATTGCTGGCAAACGGGCGACCCGTATTCATGATGTACTTCGCCACCTGGTGACCAACCTGCCGCGCTGAGTTGCAGACGCTGAGCAAAATCGCCCCCGAATTCGCCGGACAGGTCGATTTCTACCTGGTTTCATACAACGAGGACGCGGCCACCCTGGATGCCTACGCCTCCGGCCAAAGCTACACGGACGTCATCGCGGCGCAACCGGTGGGTCGAATGTTGCGCGACCTGGAAATCGTTAGTCAGTCTTCCATGATGGCGCTGGACGGTGACGGCATAATCACCTACCGAAAAGGCTTCGGCGGCGGCGGCGAGTCTACGTTGCGATCGCAGTTCGAGCAATTGGCCGCTCGATAACCGGTTGCTTCAGCATGACTGTGACCGGTTCGGTGAACCTCCCGGAGTAACCTGAGCGGTTGCTGCCCTGCCTTGGAAACCAGTGCTGGGACTAACGCCTGCGTCGCCTGCTGGCCACCGGCGTGCCGTCGAGTTCGCCAACCAGCCGCTCCACCACCTCATCCATAGGCAGGGCGCCCAGATCTCCGTCATCCCGCGTCCGTACCGCCGCCGCCCCTGCTTCGGCCTCCCGATCGCCCACCACCAGCATGTAGGGCGTTTTTTGTAGCTGCGCCTGGCGTATTTTGAGGTTCATTCGCTCGCTTCGATCATCCACGTCGGCCCGGAACCCCGCATCCTGCAATTGTGCCGCAACCTGTTGCGCATATTCAACGTGGCGATCGGCAATTGGTATCACCACGGCCTGCACCGGCGCCAGCCAAAGCGGGAATGCTCCGGCGTAATGTTCTACCAACACCCCGAAAAACCGTTCCAGAGAACCCAGAATCGCCCGGTGCACCATATACGGGCGCGACCGATTGCCCTGGTCGTCCTGGAACGTCAAATCAAATCTGTCCGGCAGGTTGAAGTCGAACTGAACGGTAGTACATTGCCAGGCCCGTCCCAGGGCATCGGTTATTTTGATGTCAATTTTCGGTCCGTAGAACGCCCCGCCGCCATCGTCGATGTCATAGTCAAGCCCCCGCGACACCAGGGCTTCCCGCAGTGATTCGGTGGCGTGTTCCCAGATATCCGGGTCGCCCACGTATTTGTCGGGCCGCGTTGACAGCATGATGTCGTATTCGTCGAATCCAAACGCCGCCATGATCTCAAAGGTCAGGTCCAGGACGTCCCCCACCTCGTTGGCTACCTGATCAGGCAGGCAGAATATGTGGGCGTCGTCCTGAGTAAACCCGCGCACGCGCATCAAACCGTGCAGTACCCCGCTGCGTTCGTACCGATATACGGTGCCCAGTTCCGCGATCCGCATGGGCAGTTCCCGGTAGCTCCGCAGCGCCGACCGGTAGATCTGAATGTGAAACGGGCAGTTCATCGGCTTTAGAAAATATTCCTGGTCATCAATTTCCATGGGCGCGTACATGCTCTCCCGATAGAAATCCAGGTGTCCGCTGGTCTGCCACAGCCGCGCCCGTCCAATGTGCGGCGAATACACGATGCTGTATCCCTTGCGGTAGTGTATGTCACGCCAATAATCCTCGATGATCGACCGCATCACGCCGCCCTTGGGATGCCACACGATCAGCCCAGGGCCGATTTCTTCGTGAACCGTAAACAAATTCAACTGGCGCCCCAGGGTTCGGTGGTCGCGGCGCTCCGCTTCCGCCAACCTTTCCAGGTGGGCATCCAGTTCCTCTTGGGACTCGAATGCGGTGCCGTAGATGCGCTGCAACATGGGCCGATTCTCGTCACCGCGCCAATACGCTCCAGCAGTGTGCAACAGCTTTACCGCTGCTATCTCGCCGGTGCGACCAACGTGAGGACCCTGGCACAAATCAGTGAACTCGCCATGACGGTAAATGCTGAGCGTAGTTTCGTCGGGCAGGTCGTCGATTATCTCCTGCTTGAACGGTTGCTCCAAGAACATGGATCGCGCCCCATCCCGACTCAACTCCTCGCGAACAAACGGGGCATCCGCCTTGATGGTGTCAATCATCAACGCTTCGATTTGTTCCAGGTCTTCCGGAGTAAAAGGACGCTCCACCTGGAAATCGTAATAAAACCCATCCGCGGTGGGTGGCCCGATCGCGACCTTGGCTTCCGGAAACCACTGCAATACGGCATCTGCCATAACATGGGCCGCCGAGTGGCGCATCCGGTGTCGCAAGTATCCGATCGGGTCACTGACCGCGTTCTCCGGGGCTCCATGGTCGAGCATTTACGCTACCTGCCTGTTAGATGTAGTTGGTATGGGCGGCCGTTGTTTTCACGACCGGGCCGCGCATTCCGTACCGCTGTAATTTTCATGTGGCAATTATACCCGATTCAACATTCGATGCCCGATTTCGAACGGTATAATAATGCCCGTGTAGTATAATGGCCGGAGCAACAACGAAATCGGCTGCACAGTCCAGCCCGGGGTATCCAGAATGGAAGAGATCCGCCAGCATCTCGTAGATATGTCCACCAAACTCCACGAAGTTGTCGAGCGGCTTTGACCTGATTGGCAAAGAGAAATCTATCGATCAGTTGAACCGGGAAGCTTCCGCGTCCGATTTTTGGGACGACCCGTCCAACGCTCAGCGCAAAATGCAACAGTTGGGTCAGCTACAGCAATCTGTAGACTCGTGGCGCGAAATGCAATCCCGCGTAGCGGATCTTCTGGAACTGACTGACCTTGCCATCGAAAACAGCGACGACAGCCTGTTTGACGAGTTGACTGCGGAATCCGAAAACGTCGCTGCCGACCTGGCCAGGGCCGAGATGCAATTGACCCTTTCTGGCCCTTACGATGACCGCCCCGCCATTCTGACCATTCATTCAGGCGCCGGCGGCACCGATTCCCACGACTGGGTTGAAATGCTCCTGGGTATGTACGCCGGATGGGCCACCAAATCAAAGCGTCCGGTCCAAGTCCTCGACACCGCGTACGGGGATGAAGCCGGGTTGCGGACGGGCACCCTGGAAATCGGTGGCCCCCACGCCTTCGGTTACCTCAGCGCAGAGGTGGGCGTGCATCGCCTGGTTCGCATGTCGCCCTTCGACCCGGCCCGCCGTCGTCAAACTTCCTTCGCTCGGGTCGAAGTCTTGCCGACCGCCCTGGACGATGAGGGCGAGGTTGAAATCCGACCCGATGACATCAAGATGGACTTCTTTCGCTCCAGCGGTCCCGGAGGCCAGAACGTGCAGAAAGTTGCGTCGGCGGTTCGCATAACACACCTGCCCACCGGCCTCGTGGTGTCCTGCCAGACGGAGCGTTCCCAGCACCAGAACCGCGATTACGCCTTGCGAATCCTGCGGGCCAGGCTCCTCGCCCGGCGCGAAGAAGAACGGGCCGAGCACCTGTCGCAACTTCGTGGCGAAAGAGTTTCAGCTGAGTGGGGCAACCAGATTCGCAGCTACGTTCTGCACCCCTACAAATCCGTGAAAGACCACCGCACCGATTATCAGTCCGGCAACACCGATGCCGTCCTGGGGGGCGAAATCGACGAGTTTATCGAAGCCTACCTGGTGACCAAACTCGGCGGCTAACCCAAGTCGCGAAAATGCCGGCCGCTTAAAGCTTTATGCCACGTCCGGCGGGCTCGGCAGCATCGGCGACAAAAGGTGGCCCATACTGTCGCGCTTCGTGCGAAGGTACTGCTCGTTGGTCTGGTTCGGCAAAACGGATAAGCCGATACGATCGGTAACCTGCACTCCAAGCCCGCTGATCCCAGCCATCTTGTGGGGATTATTGGTTACCAAACGCGCCCGAGATATCTCCAGATCGCGCATGATTTGAACCGCCAGATCGTACTTCCGCTCATCAGGCTGGAACCCCAGCGCAACATTGGCTTCGATAGTGTCCAGGCCCTGCTCCTGTAGAGCGTACGAAGGCCTTGATCTTATTGTGCAACCCAATCCCGCGACCTTCCTGCCGCAAATACACCAGCGCTCCCGATCCGTTCTCAAAGATCATGCGCATCGCCATGTCCAGCTGTTCCCCGCAATCACATTTGAGACTGCCGAAGGCATCACCCGTAAGGCATTCGCTGTGCACCCGCACCATCACCTCGTCACCGTTTTTCCATTCGCCGACCACCAGAGCCGCATGTTCTCCTTCGTCTATCGAACCGCGGTAACCGATGATGCGCGCTACACCGTATTTCGTCGGCAGGTTCGCCTCGGCGACGCGTGTAATCAACGTTTCGGTGATGCGCCGGTGCGCGATGAGCTGCGCGATGCTGAATATCTTCAAATCGTGCTTCGCCGCAAACAGCTCCAGATCCGGCATACGGGCCATGCTGCCGTCCGCGTTCATGATTTCGCAGACTACGCCGCCGGGAAAAACGCCGGCCAATTCCGCCAGATCGATGATGGCTTCGGTATGTCCTGGCCGGCTCAGGACACCCCCCGGATCGGCGCGCAACGGAAACATGTGACCCGGATGGATAAAATCACCCGGCGCAGAGTTGGGATGAGTCAGCGCTAGGATCGTGGCGGAGCGGTCGTAAGCCGAAACACCGGTGGTTGTCTCCCACTTATAGTCCACGGACGTGGTGAAAGCAGTGGGTTGCGACGATGGGCTGTTCCGACTTCGCAGGCTGGGAATGTGAAGCTCATCCAACCGCGACCCCTGCAGTGGAACGCAGACCAGTCCTCTGGCGTGGGTTACCATAAAGGCGACAGCTTCGGGCGTCGCCTTTTCCGCGAGCAGAAACAGATCTCCTTCGTTTTCCCTGCCCTCGTCGTCTACGACAATAACGAATTTGCCGGAGGTCAGGTCTTCCAGAGCCTCTTCCAGGCTACATAAGGGCATCATTCCTCCGGCGTGTATTGATGTCGCAACATGTGGTCCAGAAAAGCACTTCGTCAACCTGCAATCCCCAGCGCTCCATTACGCGCCGCGTATCTCCCGTCAGGCCGGTAACTGTTCCTGGGCGACTGCTTCAAATTGCCGGCGGTGCTCAATCAGGTCGGCAATAGTCAGTATATTCAGCGAATGTTCTTGTGCCAACTCCATTAAATCAGGTAGGCGGGCCATGGTGCCATCGTCTTTCATCACCTCGCAAACCACCCCGGCCGGGTACATCCCCGCCAGCCGGCACAGGTCGATGATGGCCTCGGTGTGGCCTGGTCGAACGAGCACTCCCCCCGGCTGGTATCGCAAGGGGAAAAGGTGACCCGGTTGTATGAAATCTCCCGGACTTGACGCCGGGTCGATCAGGGCTTGCACGGTCAAAGCGCGGTCATGGGCCGAAATACCAGTGGAGGTGTTGATCGCGTAGTCCACCGGCATGGTGAACGCTGTCGGCATGGCGGCATCTGTGTTCCGGCTGGGCAGCATGGGGATTTCCAGCTCCGCCAACCGTTCCGATGTCATGGGCATACACAACTGGCCACGGGCGTGGGTAACCATAAAATTGACAGCGTCGGCGGTAACGCACTCCGCCGGCATAACCAGGTCTCCCTCGTTTTCGCGGTCCTCATCGTCCACGACGATAAGAAACTTGCCCGCCTTCAAGTCTGCCAGACCCTGTTCGATGCTCGCCAGTTGCATCCGTTTGCCCTGCCCGTCCGGTCTTCTACACCAGGTTGGTTGGTTTGGCGGCCAGTAGACTTTCCACATACTTGGCCAGAATATCTGCTTCCAAGTTTACCGCGTCGCCAACCTTCCGCTCGTGCAGGTTTGTGTTTTGCATTGTAAAAGGTATCACCGAAATGGTGAAAAGATTGTTCGTTCTTTGTACCACTGTGAGGCTAATCCCGTCAACCGAGATAAACCCCTTCTCGACGATGTAGGGAACCAGCGACGACGGGGCTTCAATTTCCATGATGTAACAGTCCGCTTCCGAAATAAATCCAGACACCGTCCCAGTCCCGTCCACGTGCCCCTGAACGATGTGGCCGCCCATGCGGTCCGACGCCAGCAACGCCCGCTCCAGGTTAACCGCGCCGCCCGCAGAGACTTGACCCAACGAAGTGCGGCGTAAAGTTTCCGGAGCCAAGTCCACGGCGAAACTGCCGGAATCGAACTCCACCACCGTCAGGCACGCACCGTTAACCGAGATGCTGTCACCCAGCTTCACGTCGCTGGTCACCGTTTGCGCTTTTACCGCCAGGCGATATTGCGACAGCTCAGCGACTCTGCCAACCTCCTCCACTATTCCCGTAAACATTATTCACTCCCCCGGTGCGGATATCCGGTGATTAGCCAATCCGGGCCTATCTGTTCCAGCCTGGTTTCCCGTAAATCCCACACGTCTCTCATACTTCCGGCTCCCCGCCCTTCAATAGGCGACCTGGCGTCCATTCCCCCAATCAGCATGGCGCCAATAAAGACATGAACCTTGTCTATCAAACCAACATCCAGCATAGATCCAAGAATAGTGCCGCCGCCTTCTACCAGCACGTTAACCAGCCCCAAACCTCCCAGGTGCGTCAACATACCCGCCAGATCCACGCGGCGGTCGTCGCCTGGGAACAGGCATACTTCAGCCCCCGCCGCCCGCAAGTCACCAACTCGCCCCGGTGGGGCGTTCCCTCCCACCGTGACTATAGTTCGACCGGGCTCTTGCAACATTCGGGCCCCCACCGGAGTGCGTGCCGCGCTGTCCACAACCACCCTGACCGGTTGCAGGTGCGCGGCCAGCGGACGACCCTCGGCATCCCGGGCGGTCAACTGCGGGTCATCGGCCAACACGGTCCCAATGCCCACCACGATAGCATCCAGTTCCTTGCGCATTTCCTGCACGCGTAACCGCGCCGGCTCCCCGGTTATCCACTTGGAATCCCCGGCGTGGGTCGCAATCTTGCCGTCGAGACTCATGGCGAACTTTGCCACCACGAAAGGCTGACCCGTAACCACGTGCTTCGCAAACCCTTCGTACAATTCAACCGTTTCCGGTGTTCGCACATAACCCGCGCTGATGCCCGCCGCGTGCAACGCCGCCGCGCCTCCGCCCGACACCCGGGGGTTGGGGTCGGTAGCGCCATAAAACACCCGGGCAATTCCGGCCGCGATGACGGCATCGGTACATGGTGGAGTGCGCCCGTAATGGCAGCAGGGTTCCAGCGTGCAATAGAGAACCGCTCCGTTCGCGTCGCCACCGGCCTGCTCCAGCGCCCCAATCTCCGCGTGGCGTTGGCCCGGCGGCAGCGTATATCCTTCGCCTACTATGCGGCCGTCCTTCACGATCACCGCGCCCACTGCCGGATTGGGGCTCGTCGAACCCAACGCGACCCGGGCCAGTGAGATAGCCCGGCTCATGAAATTTGTGTCGGGATGAGTCAACGCCAAACCGGTTTTGTTACTCGTCAACTATCGCTGAAGTCTCGATGATATCGGCTGGCCGTGGGACCGGTCTGGCCCTGGTACTTGCTCCCCAGCTCTGGCGAACCATACAAACGATCCGCCGGCGTGCTGAGCTGCAGAAACGAAATCTGGCCGATCTTCATGCCGTAATAAAGTGCGATCGGAAGCCGGGCCACGTTGCTCAACTCCAGCGTCAGCCGTCCCCTCCATCCCGGATCCACAAACCCAGCGGTGCTGTGTATCAACAACCCAATGCGACCCAGGCTGCTTTTTCCTTCCAGGCGAGCGACCAGGTCGTCCGGTAGTTCAATATGCTCCAGGGTACTGCCCAGTACGAATTCCCCGGGATGCAGCATGAAGGGGGTTTCGGCGTCTATCTCCACCGGCTCGGTGAGATCATCCAGCGCGTGACGCACGTCGATGTAAGGCTGCCGTGAGTTAGAAAAAACCAGGAATCGGCAATCCAGGTGCAGGTCGATGCTGGCCGGCTGCACGTCGTCCAGATCAATGGGATCGACGACAATTCGCCCCTTGGCGATTTGGTGACGAATAGAGTGGTCGCTCAATACCATTCCGAATCACCAGCCCCGATCACCAACACGCCCGGCGCTACCGCAGCCGGCGGTCTGGCCGCCTGTCGTTTCGTCGATTGTGGACGGTTCGCCATAATTCGAGTCGTCGCCCCGCGTATGCCACTAACGCAATTCATACACCCCATACACTAGCACGGTAATCGCGTCCTGGCCCGCGCTGATCGGCGTATCGGCGGACTCTAATGCTGACCCAAACTCTCGATAACCGGCGGCTCCGAACTGCCCGTCACCCCCCACGTTTTCCGTTATCTTCTTCAGATCGCCCAATTCTCGACCCGCGAACCGTGCCAGTTGTGCAGCCTTTTCGCTCATATCCTGGACCGCTTTCTCTCTGGCATCCGTTTCCAGCGCACCGGTTTCGGAAAACGCAAAATCCAGATTGTTGAACACTATGTTGTCACCCCCGGCAGCGATGCTCGCGTCGATTACGTCCCCTACCGCCGTTACTTCCCGCACCGTAACCCGCAGCGAATTCGTAACGGTGTAGCCCCTGAACCGTGATTCACCCTGCGAGTAGTCATAATCCGGGTGGATGGTAAACCGTACGGTCGATATGTCCTCGGCAGCAACGGAATTTTCCATCAGCGCGTCCACCACCTGTTGCGCCGTAGTCGCCGCCGTGTTCCTGGCTTCCGACACCGTATCTGCGGTAACTGATACGCCCAGCGAAAGCACGGCGATGTCGGGTATCCCCACGGCGCTACCGACCCCGGCAACCTCCACGACGTCCACGTCGTCAGCATCCAGCTGATTCGCGGTGGGCGCGCCGGCGTTGGTTTCGGACTTCACGGTCAGCGGCGACGTCCCGGTGGTTGGGTTCGCGTCGGCGGCGCCGGTTCCCGTTTCAGAGCCAACCGATCCATCGGATGTCGGCTCCCCGCCGTTGTCACCCGCTGTTGACCCGGTGTTGGCGGAAATTACCGATGCCGGCGCCGGTTGTCCACCGCAGGCCGCCAGACCCAGCAAAATCAGGGCTGTCCCAAATATCAAAAATCCGGTTTTCACGCGCTTTCGTTGCATTGTCATCAATCGTTCCATCATCCTTGAAAGTTTACTCGACCACCCAGCAGTGCCCGTGCCATCACAAATTTGTGAATTTCAGACGTTCCCCCGCCGATTCGAGCGTGGCGCAACATGTGATACCAGTGGGCTATCGGCATGTCCAGGGTTTCACCCATGCCGCCGAAAATCTGCATGATCTTGTCTATGCTGCGCCATCCCCATTCGCCGGCGGCGTATTTGACCATCGACGCCTCCACCCTCACGTCTTCCCCCGCGTCGGCTCGGGCCGCCGTTTCGCGGGCCACCGAGCGCAGCGCGATGATGTCCATGTATACGTCCGTCAACATCCACTGGATCGCCTGTCGGTCCGCGATTGGACGCCCGTAGGTTACCCGCTGTTGTGACCAGTCGATCGCCATCTCCAGGGCGCGCGAAAGGATGCCCAGCGCCATCGACCCTCGCAGCAGCCGGTCATGGTGAACCAGCCATTGTTGCCCTAACGTGAAACCGCCGCCCACTTCGCCCAGCACCTGAGTTTGCGGTACGCGCACGTTGTCCATGTGAATGTAGTGTTGTTGAGCTTTCGTCGGGACTATCCAAACCCTGATCGGTTCGAAGCTCACCCCCTTGGTCGGGTTGTCAATGATGAACATCGTAATCCCGCCCCGCTGTCGTTTGTCCGGGTCGGTTATCGCCTGCACCAGCAGAAAGTCGGCAGACGCGGCGCCGGAAATAAACATCTTGGTGCCATTCAGTATCCAGTCATCACCGTCCCGTACCGCCCGGGTCTGCATCATCCCGCCGGGATCCGACCCCGCCTGCGGCTCGGTTTGTCCGAACGAGTAGTACAGGTCCCCGTTTATGGCGGGGTACAGATACTTTTCCTCCTGCTCGGGTGTGCAGGCCCCAATCATGAACATCGGCACCGGCGAAGTCGGAAGATGCACGATGCTTTTGTGCACTTCTTCCTCCAGCACCAGATGCCCCAGCGCGCCCATACCGCCGCCACCGTATTCTTCTGGCACGAACGACGTGTAGATACCGGTTTGCTTGGAGACGTTGTTCAGCCGGCTCCACTGCTCACTCGACAACGTTCCCAATACCCCGGGTACAGTTTCCAAAACCCCGCGAGGCGCTCCATTATCCGGTTCACCTTCTTGAGGAGGATTTGCCAGGTACTCCGGCTCCAGCGGAATACACTCATCCCGCACAATTTGGCGAACCGTGTTTTTCAGTGCGTCGAGTTCTGGGGGCAATCCGATTTCTTGGGTCATGGGTGCTCCGAAAGATGTTTGCGAATTGTGTAGAGAGGATCAGCCGCGGATACAGACGGGTGCTGTCGGGATTGCCGGCTCAAAACCGGAAGCCCTGACGGCGAGACGACCGGGGCGATCAGTGGAACGGACAAGCGTATTTTAGAGCCGCAATCGCCGCATTACCTTCGCCGGCCGTCGCCAGGCGATTCACGTATTCTCCATTGCCGTCCGCCGATGTTGCCGCGATCACTTCCATTACGGAACCAACCGTACCGAACACTACGGCGAAGGCCATGATCGATAACACGCTTATCCCGATGATCTTACGTTTCATTGCCATCAACCACCATTAACCAACCCACCACATTGTGACCACGAGCTATTGTCCTCCATCATTTTATTACAGTAGCCCCGCACGCGCCATCACCGCTATCTTCACGATCTGCCAGTGACCGCCACGAGACTGCAACCGTCCGCCCACACCTGGCAACGGCGCATTAGCGGTGCAGAACCGCCCCAATTCAAAAATGATAAAATGTCGACCGTTCATCCCGAATATACGCACCGGTTGGCCCAGGAAATGGACACCTCGCAACTACGTAATCTTCCCAGCGTCGAACGCGTCGTAAACAGTTCGGACCTTACCCATGAGGTAACCACCTACGGGCGCGATTGGCTCGTTGGGTTGGCTCGCCGGGCGGTGGATGATGCCAGGCAACTGGTCATGAGCGGCGCTGCCGCACCCCAGCTCGATGCCATCTGTCGCTCGGTGAAAGACGCGGTTCAAGAACTGGTTACGCCTTCACCCCGACCCGTCATAAACGCCACCGGCGTGGTGATTCACACCAACTTGGGGCGCGCCCCCCTTAGCCGAGCTGCCCTGGCCGCCGCCGACGCCGCCGGTAGAGGGTACTCAGACCTGGAAATCGACCTGGCCACCGGCCGCCGGGGTTCGCGGCAGGCGCACCTGCAATCCCTGCTCCAACAAATTAACGGCGCCGAGGCCGCCCTCGTAGTCAACAACAACGCATCGGCCCTGTTGCTGGGGTTGTCTGCATTGGCGTCCGGACGCGAGGTCGTGGTCTCCAGGGGCAGAGGCGCAGTGGCGGAGATCGGCGCTGGCGGTGGTTCACGATTACCGATGTCCTCGTCTCAGTCAATAGCGGGCTGCCACCTGGTGGACGTGGGGACGACCAACCGCACTTACGTTCGCGATTATGCCGATGCCGCCACCGAAAACACTGGAGCATTTCTGAAAGCCCATGCCAGTAATTTCCGGGTGGAAGGGTTCACGGCCGCGGTGGGCGAACGCGAGTTGGTGGAATTGGGCAACCGCTCCGGCGTTCCGGTGTTGCACGACGTGGGTAGCGGGTCGTTGTTGCCCACTGAACGCTACGGGTTGGCTCACGAGCCCACTCCCCAGGAAAGCATCGCCGCCGGTGTGGGACTGGTGTTCTTCTCCGGAGACAAGCTGCTCGGCGGGCCCCAGGCCGGCATAGTCGTCGGTAAACGCGACCTGGTCAGCCGCCTGGAGCGACATCCCCTCGCCCGTGCGGTTCGAATCGACAAGATGAGCCTTGCCAGCCTGACGGCAACCCTCACTC